GATGGTAATTGGCTACCGCCGCCCAAGAACAACTGCAACACCAGGAGAATTACAAATGCGTTGAAAAAAGAGTAGGCTCTTTTCTTGAAGGTCCCTGATTCGTATCGGTCTGGAAAAATCACTGGTGGTAATCGATCTCACAAGGAAGTTGTGCGAAGAAGTCAAATTCTTCTAAATCGCACAGTGGTGGATCGCCAATCATCCAGCTGGTATGGATGGTATCGCAAGTTTTGTCGCCTTGAAGTCCTTTTGGGCGGTACCACTCTCCTATATATTTCTGCCGCCAAGTAACAGTACCGACTGAAGAAATAATCTATTTTCAGCCGCACTCTACAGTACATTGAGTATATTTACAACCCGTAAGGAATTCCATTTTAGTCCCGATAGATGACAACGCACTTTAACTTTTTATTTAAATTTGTTTATAGTTAACCCTGGGCTGCTGCATTAGGTTGGCTATTAATTCGTATTGATTTCTTATGTTTACACGCACACTAATGTCGCCCAGACCGAATTTCGCAGTGCCAACGGCTTTAAATGCCTAATGAGGCAAGGGGGATGAAATACCGCTAAATTCCTGACTTCGACAGAGAATGTTTTTGACAGAAAAATCTAATAACTGATTTTGAACCGACCTAGTATTCAAACCCGGGACCTCATGATCAGGTATCGCGTTTATAGATCGGGGCAGTCAACGCGAACATTACACATTTTTTTATATATAATTAGGGTGACAAACGAACACAGTCCACCTGATGGTCAGTGGTTGCTGTGGCCCATAGACATCTACAACTATCTTCGTTTGCGAATTGAAATGAAGATGCGTTGTCAGCCGTGAGGACTAAGATAGAATACCTCTTTACCAGTGAAATAGGTCTCCGGTTCTCTTCACTCACCATACGAAACACAACAGCATTAAGCTGCTATTTTACCATGGTATTCTGTGGTCCTTCCCCGATCGAGACGACCCATTCCTGCTACAACTATACTATTAATATAGCTGCAGCATAGCTCTACCACGTAAAAACATTTGACGTACCACGTAAAACATTGAATGATGCCAGTTTTTTTACGGATTTTTACTTCACAGTCCCCCCGTAACTATGGAGGCTATGAATAACTCGAAACAGCGGGAGTATTAAATAAGTTGATAGAGGCGATAAAGTTCGTAAAAAATAGTTTAATCCAATGTTAATTTGTATTTTATATTTTTTTATAGGATAGGGTGACAAACGAGCACACAGTCTACCTGATGATAAGTGGTTGCAGCGGCCCATAGACATCTCCTTTATCCTCAAATTAAGAATCAAAATTCAGATCCGTTGTCACCCTTGAGGACTAAGATTGAATGCCTCTTTTCCAGTAAAACGGGTCTCCGGTTCACTACACTCATACGAAACACAGCAGTGTTAAGCTGCTATTTTACGCTGGTATTCTGTGAGAGCGTGGTTCTTCCCCGGTCGAGCCTACTCATTCGTGCTACAAACTATACTATTAATATAGCTGCAGCATGGCTCTACCACCATTTGGTCAAATAAAAAATACCGTCACCATTACAGCCTATCAAAATTCCACGGCTGAACACAGGCCTCCCCCATAGATTATTACCTCATGGGGACACCCACCATATTTACCTTGGTTGACAACAGCAGTTTATTTTTAAAGAAGTTGCTGCCCATCATCTGGTTTGTTTCCCCTTATCGCCTCTTACGAAACCCACGGGTTGACATGGGGACTAGCCCATTTTGTAGTGGCGGTATGAGAACATCCACTAGGATATTCTCACACCGCCATTACAAAATACATTTTTTATTCATTTTCAAACTATAAATGGTTTCTTTTGAAAAGAAAACTAATTCAGTTACACAAAGGAACGAAAATAGCCTAAATTGGGTCAGCAATATTCTAACAAGTAATACGTAAACTTCAAATATTATCCTATTATATCTCAACAAAGAGCGATATAATGAAAAGAGATTGAAAAACCCTGCGTTATAATCATAATTCTCTGTAGGTGATAATTTTGGGTTTTATAAAATGTTTTATATTTTCGCCTGAAACGAAAAACCCGTTTTTTATTTAATAACGAAGAAAGGACGGTTTATGCTTAGTACGTAATAAATATTTATACCTTTTTGGTAAATAACGTCTCTGAAACGAAATGAAGGCATAGTTTTTATTTTCGCTGATATTTTTTATGTCACAAACATTTGCATCCCTATCGTCATGCTTTTGAGATTTACAATATATTTATCTTCAGTAACAATAATTATTATTTTGAAAAAAAAAATATACTTTTCACTTGAAATGAGGCATTTCATCTTTTGTCTCAGGAATGACAAAACATTTGCATATTAATTTTTATTCATGGCCAGAAAAAAATAAAGTACAATAATTTACTTACACGTGCATATTTTAAGCGAATACTGTGGTCCACAGGCATCTACATTTATTCTCGATTAAGAATCAAAATGCAGATGCAGTGTCAAACCTGAGGACTGAGATGGAGTGCCTGATTACCAGTTAAAAGTTCTCCGGTTCTCTACACTCACCATGTGAAACACAATACCATTGAGCTGCTATTTTATGCTGGCATTCTGTGAGAGCGTGGTCCTACCCCGGTCTAGCTGACCCATTTGTGCTCCAACCATAATATAGCTTCAGCGTAGCTCTACGCGAATCTAATCTTCATCATCATTATTATTAAAGCCATTCTAAAATCTACGGTCAAGGCATTCACTTCTCTTACGTCTTAACAGGTTGCCACTCCATCTATTTTTTTTTGTATGTTTTGCTGCTTTCCTTTGACATGGAGGTCAGAGACATTGTCAGCTCAATACGAATTTCAATTTCTGGTTTTTTATTTAGTTAATTGTCCTTAATTTTATAAAGGGTGTAGAGAACTCCGGGTTTTCGTACGGAAGTCCTACTACTCTTAATCTAAGTATGTAATAACATTATAGCTCTTGCTTATTAATACCTCTATATAATAACAAAAAAAGTTATATAAAATGTGGAGAGAGATCAGGGACATTTTTCTCTTTTTAATTATATCTATATATCTTAAATTCGGTATTTTTTTCTTATTTCACTTACGTCTAATATTATTATTGCTATTGTATTTGTTGCTATATCTTAATCTACATTTCTACTAATTTTACGGAGCTGTTTACTTTATATACTTATATATAAGTCACAGTTTCCTTATTGCAATTTTTATTTACTACCTTATTTGTTATAAGCTTACAATAGTTTAAGAACCTTATTCTAGTACACTTATTTCCTATTATTTTACATATGCTATCTTTTTCTATTTTAGTTTCTAATTCTATTTCTACATTATTTCTTTCTTTGCTATAGATGGGACATTCTGTTATGATGTGCAATACGCTTTCTTCCATCATTAGATCACAGGCACATGATGGGCTCTCCCTGCATTTGAACCGATGCAAGTATTCCGAGAACCTGCCATGTCCTGTCATCACTTGCACCATTATCGGGTCTATATTTAGTTTCCTTATTACAGGTTAAGCGCTTATTGCATTGGCGAAGTATATTTTAGTTACAGAGGCCGTTTCGCCTTCTAAGTAGCGTCGATTCCATTGGTCAAGTAAGTCAAGACGAATCTGTCGTTTGACGAATGAAATCGGACACTTATCGTAATTAGGTTTTATTTTTATTTTTAAGGCAGCTTCCTTTGCTAGTTCGTCTGCCGTATTGTTCCCCTCCAACCCTGCGTGTACTTTAACCCAGAGCAGTTTAATTAATTTTCCTTGTTTCTGAATTTTTGAAATGTTTTTTCTAATATTTGCCAATAAGGGGTAACGTTCTGGACAACTGTCTGCAGTGCAGACCTCGAATTGCTGTAAATTTTGCAGCACATTTCCGAGTCCCTAAGCGCGTAATTTGTTGCCTCAAAAATAGCGAGCAGCTCCGCCTGGTAGACAGTGCAGTAATCTTCCAACTTTAGTTTTCGGGTACTTGTCTCCACTGCGTCACACCATATAGATAGCGCAGCGCCGATTTTCCCCTCGATCTATCTATATTTTTATACATTTATTGTCATGTAGGTCAATTTCCGCACTGTCCCCCAGGCACTTGAACTGCAGCCCAGTTTCATTTGCGGGGTGAGGTGTCTTAGATACTACATTCTGTTCCACATCTCGGTCCCCCACCACCCGGCGGGAAGAAACCTTTCTTTATTTCATAAAGTAAGGCCGCTTCCCGAACCCTTAAGTGCAAAGAAAGCAACCCAGCGAGTAGTAAGGCCGAGTGTAGAGATACGGTTTTGTATGACTTAACCATTTTTTGAACAAGCTCGCGATGTGCCATGTTGAGCTGCTTTTTAACTTTTTATTTATATGTTGCCGGTGCCCACACGCTTGCCGCGTACATCATATTCGGCTCCGTTACTGCAACGTAAATGGTCCAAATGATCCCCGGGTTCAGGCCCCAATTGATCTTAGCGGCTCTTATTAGTTGGCTGTAAAGTCTTTGTACCTTACAGCACACATCTTTAACATGTGTATTGAAGCTCAATTTGTCATCTATTGTGAGTCCAAGTATTTTTATTTCTCTTGACAACGCAATGTTTTCCCCACCCATTTTCAGAAGATTTGTGATTACAAAATAATCACCATGGCTTGGTAATCACCAACAAATCTTGTTTGTAATCACCATGGCTTTAGTTTTATGTGGTGCGAATCTAAGCTTGTTTCTGACTCCCCACTTCTGAACATATGCGATGGCCGCGTTGGCCCGGTCTTGGACTTCCAATGCCCTATCCCCGGAGAAGATCAGGACCAAATCGTCTGCGAAAGCCTGGCAGTGTTCCCCTTTGTCGCTTAGTTCCTTCAATAGTGGGTCTAGCAACAAATTACAAATTATAGGACCCCCTTTTGAGCCTTGCACACATCCCTTTGCAGTTGTTTTCACCTATTCTGCTCCTACGTACCTAACGTGGACTGCTCTGTCCTCAAAATAATTGTCTTTGAGACGCCTTAAATTATGGGGCACCCAGACTCTGCTAATCTACATCTTAGTGCCGGCCACCATGCGTTGTCGAAGGCTCCCTCTATGTCCAAAGATATTAATACAATTAGCTTTTTATCCTTCAGCTTAGCTTTTATGTACTGCACCATGTCATAGAGGGAGTCTTCGGTGCTACGCTGTGGCATAAATCCATATTGTGTCCGGCTAATTTTAGGTACAATATGCCATTTAATTCTTTGAATTAGCATATTTTCATAGATTTTCCCAAGTACAAGTAGCAGCCCAATGGGTCTAAAAGATTTGGGATGTGTGTAGCTCTCTTTTCCAGGCTTTTGCAGCACCACTACTACCGCCTCTTTCCACTTTTTTGGAAAGTACGCCAGACTCAGGCATTTATTGGCAATCGCCAAAAACATTTTCGGGTCCGAGGCCATAGCCGCTTCACAAATGTCGGCCGTAAGGCCGTCATTCCCTGGTGCCTTTTTGGGGTTGAAACTAGACGCAGACCACATCAGCTCCTTCATCGTAAAAGGTGGGTCACATCAGTCATCATGTGACTCTTCATTTACAATTCTCGCTGTCTCTCTAATCACCCTGTGTCCAGCATCGTCCTCCTGGGTGTCGTCTTCCGGATAAAATATTTCTGCCAGTCTTGGCTGATTTTTCGTTTCCCATAGTTATCCCGTTCAGGACAAGGGGAGTATTCTCCTGTCTCTGTGTTGCGCGGCCTATCACCCTATAGATCCCGTCCCACAATGACTCTCTATCTTGTTTGCTACAGAAGTCCTTCCAGCTGGAAGTGTGAGCTCTTTTAACTTCCTGCTGGTACCCTTCTTTTGCGTTAAGATATTGTTCAACGACCCACTCTCGACGAATTGGTGCTGCGTATGAGATTCGATTTATGAGATGAGATGAGATTCAGTCTAGACACTTACTTTTTGCGCTGTGTTAACTCGTCGGTGCACCAGGGTAATCTCATACGCTTCTTGTTTTTTAATTTGGGTAAACCATTGTCGCAAAGTTCGGTTATTGTTTTTGTGACTTCTGCTATTTTTATCTCTAATTCTTCTCTCGGCTCTATTTTATCTATTTCTATTTTATTAATTTGTTTATTGCTCCAAATCTGAAGGAGTTTCTCACGAAACTCGCTCCAGTTTGCCTTTTTTGTATTGTATTTTCTTGTTTTTCTTTCTATGTCTATGCCAACGGATTTTTCTAAGTTTATATCGAATAGGATTGCTCTGTGGTCCGAACTGGTTATTTCTTCGGATAGCCTTCAGTTTCAAACCCAGCAGGCTTGTCGAATAGGTTGTTATGTATATGCAGCTAAAAAACCTTTTTCCACCTCTGATGGTGTCAAAAGTGGGTTCAGTTCCCTCATTTAATATATGGAGCTCCAACTCGTCGAATTTGTACAGCGTTGTTCTAAGGTTTGAGGAATATCGCACAAAAAAATTTTTGAAATTTTCCGAAAGCGGCCAAGCCTAATTGGATTCGTCGGTCGACCTCTTGATCGAAGTTGGAATTTCCTAATGCCACAAAAATGTACACACTCGTTAACAACTTTAAGCAGTGTTTCCACAAATTAACTGTATAGATGACACATGAAGTTTAAAAGTTAATATCAGCCGCTAATAAGCAGGAAATTAATTTCGTTTAAAATTTTAATAAAGCTATAACTAGTGGTCTAATTCTTTAGATAATTAAAAAAATATTCGCTTACAGATTCATTTTTGTCGATAGCTTATCGCTTTGATATTGCTGTGCCGCTGGCCTGGAATTCATGCATAGACAATAATGTCTTACCGACTGAACTTCGATCATGGCGCTGAGTCTTCACGAAAACGAGCTATCTGCACATGACAGGATTATAATGCACAAGTGCTTGCGCAAGCATATGAGCGGTTTCTATTTCCTCACTCTCATAGTTTGATGCCGATGGGGCGCAAAGCCATTCGACCGTGGAGAAGCGAAACGCAAGACCAACACCTTTACATGCTTTCCGGAACATGGGAATGAAATACTACCAATTTCCTGACTTTAAGCTGATACTGAGAGTATTTTCATATAAAACAAAAACAATTATTGATATTAACTCCAACTGGGATTCAAATCCGGAAACTAATGATCCCGACGACTAGACAATAAATGCAGTCAAATCAAACATAGCACAATGAGCACGCAGACGCTGTTGCGACAATCCGGTAGGTTGAATGAAGGTGAAAGACATTAGATAATATCACCGTATTAACGTCATAGAAAGATTAAATGGCAGAGGTTACGAGAATTTTTATATTCGATTCTAAGCTATAGAATATTTCAAAAAATTGAAAAATTGTTTATGTCGTGTGAGTTTTAGTACAAAATACAATAAATATCTATATGAAAGTACTTTATACGCGGAAAACGAAGACAGCTGCTGGAGTCTGGGTGAATAAGGTGAGGTTTAGAAGTGTATATAATTATTTTATTGGCAAGGTTGAGAACGTCCCACCAGTGCACTATCGTCAAACTTAAAATAATTATTTAAATTTATAAATGGTGATCATTTTTGCCTTGTTTGCAGTCCTGAGCTTTGTTTATAAATATAAATCTCTAACTCATCAAGAAGTTACTTTAAAATCGATTTAGTTTACTATCGATTAAAATAAACGAACAAACAAACACACAGAAAGGGCAGTGATATTATATTACATTGTTCTGAGCTATTTTAATGTTTCAAGGCTCATCGGGAAGTTATTTTGAAATCAATTGCAAATTTTGTACCGAACAGACAAGAAAGCGAGTAAATAAAAACGTGGAAAATATTATGTTTTTTTTTTTTCATAAAATTGAGAGACACTACGCTACGAACTGGCGATTCTTAAATGGCCCTTGCCTGCACTATAATTTTGACATGAATTATTTGTAATGTTGCTGGCACAGTCACCATAGCGTTTCAGTTAGATAAACCTGACCTCTACGTCTATTTTTTACGTTCCACGACATTTTGTATTAACTGAGATATTACAAAATACGTATTTAAAGTGAGTTTATATCTTATACAACTTTAATAGGAATATCACACAGCCACAGCATCCACTTATCCTTAGGTCTACTGCTTTCTTGTTTGTCTTTACCTATTAAGTTGCCGTTTTCTATGAAGTAAGTTAATGAAATGTTTTTTCTATATTTTTTATTTCTATTAATCAAAGTAATCACCCGTGCAATCAATGCATCTTTGCCAACGCAGTGGCAGTTTATTGATGCCTCAGAGGTGCCAAGGTCCAGCCAACTTGCTGAGCGCTTGCGATTATCAAACAGAATTCATTTTTCATCGCTGGTAACAATGCGGTTCAAAATTTCTTCGATTGTGTACTCGTTGAGCAGTATAAGGCACGGCCCGACTCGTATTTCATGCTGGCGATCATTGAGTTCGTAGGGACCCATTTGTCAGCATTTTCAACCAACTTCAAACAGGAGGAGATTTACAATTCGTCGGAATCTTTGTTTGTTATTTATGTATGCTCATCAATTACTTGAAGATGCCTGTACCGATTTGGAAATTATTTTGTTTCAAAGGGTATACTTCCCAAGTCGTCCCATTTAAATTATTGGAAGTCAGGCGAGCCTTTTAAAAAAAACAACAATAACAATTTTTACGGATTTTATCGCGTTTAATTTACTTATTTTATATTCCCGACGTTTCGGTTGCTTTCCAGCAACCGTGGTCACGGGGGACTGAGGTGATTGACGTCCCGATGTCAAAGTTAACCCGGAGTACCTTCAGCTTTTTAATTATTAATTTTGGTCCGATCTACGCAGAATGAACTAACTGTGTCTTGAAGTCTTACAGTGGTATGCTTGGGTTTAGTTTTAATTTTATGAATTACAGGATCCCAAGCAGGTGGTAGTACCCAGCCTCCCTCTCTATTGAAATTAGGATGTTTTTTAATTTCAATAGCCTCACGTATCATCCTTGGCAGGAATCGATGTTCTTTCGCGACGACTTGTGGTTTATCAAATCTAATGTAATGACGGGGGCCGTCTAGGATATGATCACAAACTGCAGACTTCCCGGAACGTTGGTGCTTCACGTCAGCTATGTGTTCTTTTACGCGGGTTTTTATTGATCGTTTTGTTTGCCCTATATATGAGAGACCACACTCACAATCAAGCTTGTATACTCCTGCATCTTGTAGAGGAATATTGCACTTGACGGATGGTAAGAACTGACTAATCTTCTTCGGCGGCTTGAAGAATGTTCTAATAGAAGCTCGCTTCAAGATGTAGCCAATCTTGTCTGTGACACCTCTGACATATGGTAGTACAGCAGGCACACGCTCGACTGTGGCCGGCTTCACTCGGTCACTGTGACGTAGGCGCGGAACCCGAAGCTTGTTGTCGTGCAGAACCTGCTTGACGTGCTGAAGCTCGGCGGCCAGGTGTTTGCTGTCACAGATCCCTCGTGCTCTCTGCAACAAAGATTTGCCCACGGTAGCTAACTGTGAAGGGTGATGGTGGGATTCACCGTTTAAGTATCGGTTTTTATGGGTCTTTTTTCTATACACAGTGTGTAAATAAGTAAATTAAACGCGATAAAATCCGTAAAAATAGTTTTATTCAATGTGTAGTGTTCGCGTAAATATAAGAAATCATTACAACAATAACAAATTCCATTTATATTGAAGTTGGTTGTACATTTTTTTTAATTTACCAATATTGTTTTGATGCTAACGTCGAAAGATGCAGATAATTGAGCCGTAGATTGAGTATCGTCAGCTGCCACAATCTCCTTTAATTTGACATTATTGACCAAAGTTTACGGACAACCACGGGGTTCATTTTTCAGATCGAAATTTCCAGAATAGAAGCGGGCAAACCAATAACAGATGGTGTGTTCGTTTGTAGTATTTGCTCCGTAAACGTCGCTGATATAGCGTACCGCTTGTGCTGCATTGCTGCCATGACGGTAGGTACTAATATTCCTCGAATAATTAAGTATCCATGATGACGAAAAAGATTCAAATACGATGAAAACATAACGTTAATCAATGAAAAAATGACTAATTGTGAAAAAAATCCATGTTTTTAAAATAACATTAATTTGAAATTAGGATTTTTAGGAAAACGAAAATTATTTTGATTTGAATTGGCCAGTAATACAGAACAGCAATTTCATAGGTAAAGACCTATTAATATAAAAAGCGTATCGACAAAATAGGCGATATGTTAAGTATGTGCTATATTAAGAGTACCAGTAACCAACAAGTCGTGCTAAATTGAAGTTTGTCGTCTGTGACAGAGTGTTTGTCTACCCTACTGGCTGATTTATGTTTGTATTTAAATGTAAATTGAGAGATTAAAAAAAACAAAAATAAGGATTGATCATAAGCTGTACTTTTATATCCTAGTGAAAATTGTAGGTCATAGTCGATTTGTATTGTTTGCAAAAGATTGATCAGAAGTACGTAATTTGGTGTAAACTGAATTAATATTTAATTTCATGACACTCATAAATATATACACACATACATATGTATCT